AGTTCCACCCATCTGAGAAAAAGAATGGGAATACCTTCTCCTTTATGGTGCTTTTATAAATATTTACATTAGAAATACAAATCTACTGACCAACTGATTTTAGAGGACATCTTTTTAGTCAATCAAATTACTTCTGTGGTGTTTTTTTTACCTATTAATCCACCTGATTAATTAGAAATTGCACCCCTGCTTCACATAAGCCAAGAACCCCCCAAAATTGCCATGGTTCTGCAGGGATATGACAGCTCTTTTCATAATTTTGTTATCATTTTTACTTATTTCCCACCATTTTCTGAGACAGGGACTCCACACAGCTTACACAAATTGAAGCAACATCTCTTGAGTGTGTGCATGCCTTCTTCCGAGATCCACTGCATCTTCTGCACATACATGCACATTAGCTACCTGGCTACAATAGCTTGGCCTATGATACAAAAAGGAAGAAACAGTGCAGAGAAAGGATATATTATGTGCGTCATCTGCTAATTAAAAGATAGGTATGTGAAATTGATCCACTCATGGATGAAGGCTTTTAAGTTCCCCCTACAAGTACCACCCCCCTAAAGTCTCCTTCCAGGTTGAGACTATTTGGAATGGTGCCTTGTCAGATATTAAACCATATCATTAGATGAAGGGTTTTTTTTTGTCTGTCCTCTATGTGAAAGAAGTATGGGGTGGAGTAAGAAGTTGATTTTACCCCATAGTTCTCTTATTTTTAGTGAGGTGTTCAGGTGAAGTCTTAATCATTGCCTGCAAATCTGTCACTGCCTTATGCTACAAATATAGTCTAAACATACAGTAGCATCCATTTTTGTTAGGGACTGAAGACAGGAACTCAAAACCTGTGTATCTTCAGCTTCATTGAACCATATAGTCCACACATTCACATATTAGCGTGATACACCCATATGTGCTTTGAAGTGTGATTTTCAAAAGATGCAAAGAGGAAATGAAAGGCAATACCCTCTTTTGCATGTGACACCAAGTCATACCATACTTTAGCACAAATGAGCAAATGCAAAAGGTTCTGGAGAGGAGATCACAGTTGTTTTGCTCCTCAACAGCTGCTTTGTTGCTGTGCTACTGTGCTGAGGGAAGCCATTACTTGGCTTAGCTATGTTGTCTGAACCCAGGCCCATGATTTAGTACTCATTGAGTTGTAAACCACAGGACAAATGTTAGTTGCAGCTCATGGTTTGCCTGCCGAAAGTTAAACAAAGAGTCCCGGTTTGAACATCATCCAAAGTCAAACCATGGCCTTGATCAGCACTGCAGCTGAACAACCAGGGAAGAGTAAAGCAGCCAAGATCATTTCTCTGAGTGCCTACACATGTGCTCATTCATGCTAATCATAGTCAGGATGGCTGATGAAATACTTGGAACATTGCAGTACAACAAAGTTGTCAAATATATGTTCTTCCCTGTCCTGTAAGCTAATCAACTGAATGCAAACTCTCTACCCTTTACTGATGCAGAGAAAAACATGAAACTTTAATAATGATGCCCTCTAAAAATTTAAAAGGTGATGAAAACACTGCTGTATATTTTTAAACAACCTTTTGTTTTTGGAGGTGACAGCCATTCAGCCATCAAAACACATCCAACTACATAATGAGAACACCCGAGAGTTCCTGTTGAAATGCATTAAAATGGTTTATATTTTGTCCACTAAGTTTGATATCTCTACTGAAACCAACTGGGAAACACTTCAGAGGATGAAGGCCTCATTTGACCATGTCTGAGTTACAGAGCATATAAAATTAAACATTATTATTTACTTGATTCACGTGTGCAGCAACTGCACAACAGCATGAAACTGAAAAGCTTTATCTCTCACAGATGTGAAGGATCACTCCTGACAAGTACAGTAGCTACATACACAGTTGTACAAAATAAATTATACATCATTGAATGCAGAGTATGAAAACTAAACAGGGAATAATTTGGGGTGAACTTAGCTTTAGACTTTTAGTTTAAGATTAAACATGGGGAGCTTTACTCTGAATGCTAAGTAACTGCTTTATATTCTCCATAAAATATGGTAACCAAAACACATTATTCAAAGTGAAATGGGGTGGCCAAATAAAGCAGTAACATTCTATTCTAATACCCTTTTAACAATACTGTTGATACTGCAACCAGAACTGGCAGTTTTGCAACTTTTCATCTGAGAATTTTGGTGCTCAGAGATACCAAAAGAGGGGGGAGGGGTTAACCAATGTAAATTGCTCTTTGTGGTGTTATTTGTTTGCTTAGGGAACATTTTGGGTACCTGAAGCAAAATGCTTTAGGATAGGAATTTATATAGGGGAAATGCTGCAACATTGTGGTTTTGATTTGAAACATTCTTCATAGCTGCTTAAGGACGGAGAGGGAGGGAGGGAGACAGGAGATCCATCACAGATCTCCAACCGCTTATTGTGCATCTAGTTTGGCCCTCAGTCTATAGTCAACTTTGCTACACTCTTCTTTTAGTTTCCTTTACTCCTTAGGCCAGGCATGGCCAAATGTGGCCCTCCAGTTGTTTTGGGACTATAATTCCCATTATCCCTGACCACTGGTCCTGTTAGCTAGGGATGATGGGAGTTGTAGTCCCAAAACAGTTGGAGGGCCAGGTTTGGCCATGCCTGCCTTTAGGTGATCAAAAACCTCAGGTGCTTTTCCATTTTAGTTTGAGTCAAACCAACAGCTTCCTCTCAAATAAGTTAGACTGCAAACTATTTAGCTTCCTGAATAGCCCTTGCCACCAAACCCAGGTCAGCCAATCGGTGTCAGAGGCTTAAACATTATGAAGACCATAGGAGCCGACTCCATGGGGCTTGAGGGGGCCCGAGCCCCCTCAAAAATTCGTTTGGGGGGCTCCGCCCCCCCAATAATCTCCGGCGCCCCTCCAGCAGAGCGCCATCGCCGCCCCTCCCCCAGCCCAAAATGCACAGGGAGGGGCGGGCTGCATGCCTCCTGCCCTCCCTCCCGAGCAAAAGCTCCACCCAATTTCCTTTGGAGCTGATTAATAGGCGCAGCACGCTCTCCCCTATTCGCTCACGAGGAGGCGGCGCCACTTTATTTGCATATTCATGAGCTTATTTATTATTCATGAGCTTTCCCGGGCCCCCCCAATATTTTTTATAAGTCCGCGTCCCTGATGAAGACAATATAGTATATAGACTTAAGCTTTCTATTTGATTTGGATGGAAATTCCAATAGATCAACATGATGAGAAGGCTGACTTTCTTTAATAAATCTAACACCTGATCACTAAAAAAAAGATATCAACCACATTTCTGTGACACAAAGACTAATGAGAACTATGAATATAATATGTGTGAGCATATTCTGATTCACTGACCAAAACAGACAGCTAAGCAATATGCTGCTATGGACACTGCATCTTGTGTTGCCCCAGAAGAATTTGTTCCTTCATGCTGCATTAAAATTAGATCCATCAAATTAAAAATAAATTTAATGATGACATAAGTATGGATGACTTACACGCAGGCAACACATAATTCTTCAATGAATTAGCTGTACTGCTTAAGGAAGCAGAATATATAACACTGGGAGTAGGGTGAGATGAGAAGGATATTTGGCGCAATGTTTATTCTGATAAAGAAATACTGAAGTATAGTTTGTTAATGCTAAATGAAGAAAAGTAGGAAAGGGATGTAGTAAGAACAGGAAACTCTCCACTCTGATCCCTGCTGGGGAAGGCTAAATAAACCATAAAGAAAAGGCAAAGCAGTCCCAATTTCCCCTCTGTTCTGTATTCTATACTGCTTCATACTGCAGGTTGGACAGTCATCTTTTTTTGAATTCTCCTCCTCTATGATCAAAGTTCCATGCAAGTAGTAAACTAGCACATCAGGGGAAAGAGGTTAGGGTTACTCTTTAGAATATATTTTAATATCCACCCTATATATATATATATATATATATATAGTTGGGGTGTCTAGGCGACGTTTCGACGAGGTCTCACTCGTCATCTTCAGGCTGGTGCTTTCGGCTTCTTGTTACTGGAACAGAGCAGGATCTCAGTGTTTGAGTTCCTATAAATACTGTTGAGGAGGTGTGGTGTATAGCCTCCAATGTTCTGGGCAGAGAGGAAGTTCCCAGGCTAGTGTGCCTTTTCTTCTTTTGTTCCTTAATTACTTGAGGGATATCTTGAGTGATTTCTTGAGTGATATCCTGAGTACCACTTAGGTGGGTCATTAGGGTGCATGCAACTTGCTGACCCAACTTTATATAAACGAATAACATAGCATATAGGATATAGCACTGCTACCACTTTAAAAATCCGAGATAACATAGCAATGGAGTAACATCAAAATTTGCAAGTTAAGGTTGGTATCCCTATTCGTGGTTGGACTCATAGTAAGTCTTATGAATTCAATGGGCCTCCACCCAGGTAAGTGTGGCTATGATCAGCTTATGCTATTGTTGCATCCTAAACAACTGCTGCTTAAAAGTATATTGTGACTCGAAATTAATGGCCTGGGGATGACAGATTAGCTGGCACATGCCTTGGAGGAAAGGGTGAGAAGCCAGGCATCACTAATTTAAATGTATTTTCTTTTATTGTCAGAAATAAGTGATGCTTTAAAAGCTATTGTCAAATAAAGACCCACAAAACAAGAAGGAAATGAATGTTGATTAGCTGTACTGCAGCATCTTTTTTACTTGTGTGAACAAGTAATTTTATTATTGTTAATTATTTTAACATATACAAATTGAGGAATCATTAAGTCTCCAATCCTAATCCCGTTTACCTAGGAACAAACCCCACTGAATTCAACAGGAATTAGTTCTGAGTAGATAAAGTTATGGTTATGTTGTAAATCATATCAGTTTACAATAATCCCCCAGTGTATAAACATGAAGTTAAATACCTCAAAGTGGTGTTAATATCTGCCCTCTAGATGAGAGCCTATGGGAAACCATTTGCAACAAATACACATACAGATAAGAAAATCTTGAAGTAAAAATATGTTATAGTTGAGCCCTACCTTGATATATTGCTTGGTTGTGGAAACCTCTGGATCCTCGGACTCTATCCATATTTTAGCTAAATTTTGTTCTGCCTCAGTTAACCAGTGGTTAAAGTTTTTCATATCGTGATGGAAATTCCTCCATTTCTCCACTGATCTATCAAATCTTCTGTAGAAGGAAATAAAAACCATGACACTATAGTTTAGGACATTATATGATTAAAAGTAGTAGGTCAAACGTTTATAATACATTTAAAATATTAATGCAGGATATGACTGTGATGCCTTTATAGCAGTGGCTTCCCACCTTTCTCCCCATGGACCACTCGGAAATTGCACAACAGAAAAACATGCAGTACTCTGGCTATGCCAAAAATAGCCCTCTCGTGAGCAGAAGAGGTTCTCTGCTCACAGAAAGATGCCCTTGTATCCAAGCCTGTGGGTGAATTGCATAGCTAGTTAATTCTATGTTTCTAAAATCTATTTGCACGGCAGAATGGGAAAATAAAATATCATGTTGAACACACAAACAAACAACTTATCTGGCTAAATTTAAATTCACTGTTTAAATTTACTTTCCCCAACAATGTGCAAAAGCTAATACATATAATTTATACATATAACTGTGAAGTTCTAATATATTGCCTACACCACTGAAGTGTGATGGCAGGAACAGTAGTGCTTTCTCATAAGACTGCAGGAAACCAAAGTCTCTTGCAAACATTTCCCACAGAAGATAAGAAAACATCCAGAACTGCTGCGAGGCAGCAAGTTAAAAAACAGAATATTTAAAGTAAGGAGTATTACAATTTTAAAAGTAAATATACCCTCTTATTGCATAAGAATGATTTCATAATTTATAAAATCCTCCAAGCTTGTGTTAGACACAAATTCATTTGGGGGTAAACTCCAACACAGTGCAAGAGGGCATCTGCTCATGCAACAAGACTTCTCTTTCCTTTCTTCCTGCCACAGCCCCAAAGATCAGCTCCAGGGGTTGGGGGATTCTCCAGAGCAGATTTTGGTGTTCATGGGGAGGGGAGGGGAGCTGGAGACAGGAAGAAACAATCTAGAATTCCCATCACAGAAGCAGATTTCCATTTTGCAAGTGGATGGACATCACTGGATGTCTCCCACTGACTGGCATATTTTATATATTATTGGTACCAAGACATGGTCTGAAGCCAGATATAGGGAGTAACCTTGCCAAAAGTAAGTATATCTAGGTCTAGCCCAGAGGTTAGGAGCTGGAGCTGAGAGCAGCCCAGGTCATCTTTGATGCTGGAGGAAACCACCTGGAAACCCGGTGTATATTGCCTTGAGTTCGTTTGTGGAAGAAAGGTTGGATATACATGCATTGAATAAGAATATATAATTATTAATGAACCTGAAGCAAGTTAACTCTCTTGATTAAAAAAAAACAGAATTCAACAAACTCTACCCAAAAAATTTAAACAGAATAATAATACATATTACCATTGCTGTTTTTTATCTCCTGTGGTTCTGATACTTGAGTCTGACGCTTTTTGAGAACAATTACAGTGGAATAGGATTCTGTTGGTCAGACTCTACATCACCAATTAGAGTAAAAAGAACTAGAATGGTCTGAAGTGCCTTTCTGAGGTGAAAAACGATCCTATTATCAATACCACTAAGTTCCTGAAGAGACAGGTACTCAACAACACAAAACCAGCAGTCTTTTCTTTTTCATGAAATAAGCCATTCCAAGGCAAAAGAGACCATCTATTGAGAGATCATTTTTAACAAAATCCCACTATGCTATTGATCAGAAGTCATAGGAAGATTTCTTTCATCTGACTACAGAATTGTGTTTTAGTTATTACATAATCAGATTTCATTATAATTTTTAAATATACAGCTCATTCCTTTCTAACAAATGATGTGCATTTCCCCAAAGGTAATGCTATCTTGAACTGCTTTGTGTTGCACATTTAAATCCAGATGAAGCATGTTTTTAGCATGTAAATTTCAAAATAAAAAAAGTTTCAAAACCGCCCTGAGACCTCCGGGTATAGGGCGGTATATAAATTCAATTAATCATCATAATCAATTCCGCCATTTCTAAAATTTCATCTTGAATCAAGATCATAAGCCTCTATCCTTGAAAATTATATTACATTGCAATATACTACAAGACTATTTCTGGCCAGCCTTACCTGGAAAAGGCACTACCATGCCACAAAGGACACCTAGGTTTCTAGTGGCAGTGCTAGATCTAGGAATACCCCCAGCTATGAACCTGCTGCCTTAAAATAGCAATTTCATTCAGAATAGGTGGTAAACAAGAAACATCTACCTATAGTACTTTCGTCTTGTCAGCATTCAAGTTGTTTATTGTCCCTCATACCACCCTATGCAAGTGATTGGCTGTGAGCTTGTGAGCTCTTCAAAGTACCTTGTCTACGTTGATGGACTATATGGAACTGGCGGAAATGACTGGCAGAATCCGAGACCAGGGAGAAGAGTCGGTGGAAGAAGACTGGAAAAAGTTTAAAGACTATTTACAGAAACATTGTAAAATTAATGAATGCTAGAAGAATGTTGGAATGAAGTGATATGGCTTTAGTAGAAATGTTATAAGGAATTAAGTATAAATAGATTAATAGAGTATTAAAGGAAAAATAAGGTTAAAATGTGTTAAGATAATTATAGGATAGAAAACAGGGGAAGATGGAAAGGAATTGCTGAAATAATTAATAGAAGTGGAATACAAAAAGGGAGGTGTGAGGAGGTCGTGGAAATATGTGAAAGAAAGATAAGATATTGAATTTTTTTTCTTTTTTTGATGTGTTTTTAAATTGTTTTTGTTTTGTCTTGTTAGTTTAATGTTTTAGTGTTATGTAGTGTTTTTGTATTGTAATGTACTGTTTTTTCTTTGTTTTTTTTTGTAGTGTTTAAATTGTTGTAAAAGTAATAAATATTATTTAAAAAAAACGTACCTTGTCTACGTTGTCAGGCCACAACACTGCAAACCACTTATGAGATTTCTTTGTGTATTCAACTATACATAGATAAAATAAAAAATGGTGCTGAACCCATACAACTGGACTAGACAGTGTAGTGCTCAGATTATGCACAGTCCACCTTAGTTTGGTACAAAGAATAGATGCAATGCAGCAGAAAATGCAACTTTTGTCTTAAATGAAAGCAACCTCAAAAATACACAGAAAGAATACATGGTTCTTGTAACTACTTATTGCAGAGGCATACAGTAGATCAAAAACCATTTCCAAGTAAATCATGTAAAGATGGATACTCAAAATATATTGTTACGAGTTTCGGGGTGTTGAGATGTGTGCCAGACCTCTCTAAAACCCGGATCCAGCAAGTGCGGGTGGGGTCCCCTCCCTCAACATATAATGTCAGATTTTAGAGTAGAGAGTTAAAAGGAGCAGTGATGTGACCTAGAAGTAAAGCAGCAAACTAGAGAGAAGTGAGGTATGAGAACAATGTTTGATTTCTGTTTGGATTCAAGGCAGCGGCTATGGGAGAAGTAAGACCCATTTGGAGTGTTGATGCTCTGAATCCCACCATTGCAGGCTCAGGTTATACATATGTGTAAATAAACCATATACAGTGGTGCCTCGCAAGACGAAATTACTTCGTTCCGCAAGTTTTTTCTTCTTGCGAGTTTTTCGTCTTGCGAAGCACGGTTTCCCATAGGAATGCATTGAAAATCAATCAATGCGTTCCTATGGAAACCGACTTCAGACCAGGTCTGGGGACAGTCTGTCCCCCGACCTCTTCTGAAGGCTGGGGGGGGGACAAGGGCTTTTCTTCCCACCCCCAGCATTTTAAAAAACCCTGGGACAGCGGAGACTTCTCCGCTGTCCGGGGCGATCTTAAAATGCTGGCGGGCGGCAGCGAAGCCTCCGCTGCCGCCCGCCAGCATTTTAAAAAACCCCCGGACAGCGGAGGACTTCTCCGCTGTCCGGGGCGATCTTAAAATGCTGGCGGGCGGCAGCGAAGCCTCCACTGCCGCCCGCCAGCATTTTAAAAAAACCCCGGACAGCGAAGGACTTCTCCGCTGTCCGGGGCGATTTAAAAGCCCCCAGGAAGGCAGGCAGGGGGGAGCAAAGACTTTTGCCCCCCGCCGGCCTTCAGAAGAGGTCCTGGACCTCTTCTGAAGGCCGGCGGGGGGCGAAAGTCTTTGCTCCCCCCCCCCGCCTGCCTTCAAAAGCCGTCCGGGATAGCGGAGAAACGAAGGCTGGCGGCGGGAGGAGGTCTCTCCGCCCGCCGCTAGCCTTCGGAGGAGGTCCGAGGACAGTGGGGAAGACGTGCTGCGCTTCCCCGCTGTCCCGGAGATTTCCCTATGGGCTTTCGTCTTGCAAAGGAAGCCCATAGGGAAATTCGTTTTGCGAAGCGCCTCCAAAACGGAAAACCCTTTCGTCTAGCGGGTTTTCCGTCTTGCGAGGCGTTCGTCTTGCGGGGCACCACTGTATCATAAAGACACCACAGTCTTCACTATGCCTTATTCCCAAAGGAAAAACAGACTCTGGGTAAGCACGTTGAACCCCTGGAATCCTGCACCACTCAGAGATTGGGGTGGCATGCAACAGTATATTTTAAATCTATGCCAATAACTTCCTATAATGGTTGTGTAGAGTTTTAAATTTGAAAACTATAAAAATGTCACTTAGTAGTCTAAAAATGTTGAAATCACTAATTACTCCGATTCTTTTATCTACTTAGCATTCAGAATTAGACTAATAAGTATTCAAAATGAGGTCTTTTTAAAGGGAGCAGGTTAAGTGCAAAAAGAGTATGTTTGATTATCAAAATACATTTAAAATTCATGACTTTTATTATAGAACTTGTAGCTGACAAAAATATAGCCTTTTTTCACGTTCTACAAAATATTGTGTACATTACATTTCTATACTTCCTCTAAACAGTGTCCTGAAGGATTATGCTAATATTAACCTAAAAATTATGCAGTGTTGTCAACTTGATTCAGCACAATTAGCACCTTGTAAGAAATATACAAAACTTCAAAGTAATATTTAAAAATTCTATTTATGTGCATTGAAATATTATGTGCATTGTAATATTTAAGGTCATTCTAACAGATAATCTATGGAAACTTGTTTTTACAGGGTTATCTTGCCAAATTAATCTTTTGTTGCAAAAAAAAAAATGTTAACCTGT